TTTGTAGCTTTAACAGTGGTTGGAAGGCCTTTTCGCCTAATCCTATGCAGAAAACTGTTTCAGTTCACATACATTTTGGGATGTCTTTGCATTTCAGAGCACTTTTCTGAAAGGTTTCACCCCTTACATGACCAGGGCAATTTTGCTATATGGCACTGCACTACTTTATCTGACAATTGCATGGTCATGCATCACTGTACCCAAAATTAAATGTATAGAATTTTTTCCCACACAAATATAGCTCTCTCTTGGTGTATTTTTTGATCATATAAAATGAAAAAAAGACTACAAGCTAAAAAAAAAAAAAAAAAAAATTTTTACTTTCTGAAAAAAAAAAACAAAAAACATATCCAGCAGAAAAAATGAAACATTTTTTAAAAATAAAATTTAGGCCAAAATGTTATCTGCTACATGTTAAGAAAAAAAATCCCAGTCGTTGTGTATTGATTTGTCTATAAACTATGGTGTGTGTGTGTATATATATATATATATATATATATATATATATATATATATATATATATATATATATATACATACATACACACATACATATATATATAATATATATATATATATATATATATATATATATATATATATATATACACACACCTACACACACACATATACACATATACACACACACACATTCTGGAATTTTTTTTTTTTTCATATACTAATAATAGTGGTGATCAGCTACTTTTAGTTGGACTGTGACAGTGCGATGGGCAATCTGACACTAGGTGGGAAATGACTCACTGACATCATCAGTGACATTAATACAGTGATAATACCATACATGGTCACTGTACTTATGACAGTGGCTGGGAAGGGGTTAACATTTATTATTATTATAAAGAAGTTATATAGCGCCAACAGTTTGCTCAGCGCTTTACAATATAAAATGGAGACAATACAGCAACAAAATAGTTCAATACAAGAGGGTTAGGAGGGCCCTGCTCCTTGGAGCTTTTAACCTAAGAGGGGCAATCAAAGGGTTAGCTGTGCCTAACAATGTGTAATATGTACTGCCCTTACCAAGAGAGGACTGCTTTTTCTTCCTGCTTTGCAGGGAGAAAAAAAAAACAAAAAAAAAAAACAAAACAGCCACATCGTTGCTCTGTGTAGTAAGCACACATTCGCTAAGCCGATCAGCAGGTCCTGGCCATAAACCATTGGCCGAGACCTGCTGATCGATTTGTGCTGTACCAAATGACCGCACGAATGGGGGTGGCGGGTGCACGTGCTCCCTACCTGTTAATGCTGGATCACGTACATGATCTAGCGCAGAGCGGCCACCCTGCCGCAGTAAAAATACATGAGGCAGTCCACAAGTGGTTAATAGAGCTGAATTTATCTCCCTAATTCGATACAGGCTACCTATAAGTTCCATAGAACTACTATGGAAACTATTTCCCATAAGCGGGCAGGTAGGTGTGCAGCCTTATGGTTGGAAAAAACATACTACTTAAAAGAGAAGTAGAGCTTTTTCCCCCCTTATTTATACTTGCCTAGGTGGATTCAGTATCGGTCTGATGCTGCATCTGTCTCCAGTCAGCTCTAAGTGTGAGAACTCACTGATCACATGACCGATGAGTTCTCTCCGCTCTGAGCAGAGAGCGGTGACCATCAGTCACCGCTGTCTGCTCTGCCCCCCAGCGCTCACTGGAGCCCTGGGCCGTGGAGGGGGAAGGAACAGCTGGCTCAGGCTCTCAGTGCTTCACTAAGCGGATGAACCAGGTGCCGCTCAAGACTCTGGGGTGGATCCTGACTTTAAAGTTGGGATATTTCCCCAGCCTGGACTGGCTGAGTGACATCAGCTAAAAATGGGTCACAGGAGTGCAGCACGAAGTACCCAAAAGATCTCTCCTTAACACCAAAAGAGAACCTCATCCTAATCATAAAGCATGGTGCAAGGAAGGGCTGGTTTACTGGTTTACGACCTTTACAGCTCATTATCACGAATGAACCAACAAATTGCAATGTTCACTTGGATAACTCTGAAGCCCATCAGGACTTTGCCATAAAAATTAAAAAAAATTGGGTCTTGCAATCTGATTATGATCCTAAATACAGAAGCCGATCCTCAGAGGAGCTCAGAAGAAAAGCCCTTTTAAATTGGTTAAACCTGTGTTAACAGCTCATAAATGCTCAATTTCTTCAACATTTTGTAAGGTGGATTTTTAAATATATTTGCAGATTCTTTTCTGAATTTTTCACCCTCAGGGTTCTTAGGTGCCAAAGCAACAGGTTTACTTTAATGCTGCCCCCCACTGAATATACTAAGCCTCCTGTTACTCCCCGGCTGCCCAATTTACCTGCAGGTATGTTGGAAATAAGCCCAATGTAAGCTCTTCCATGTCATTAATAACAAAAAAAACAACAATCTGCTGCCCTATGATGCCTGCTTTCCAACAAACATCCCAGCCTAGTGCATTGTTCCCAAAGTAGAACTAAAAGGCAAATTATTATTTTTTTTAGTTTTGGATAAAGTGGAGAGGGATTAGAACTTGTCGGGGTTTTCTTGCTGTCTGCACCCTCATTAGGGAGATTCATCCTCTCTTTTGTTTCTGATTTATCATTATAATCAAATGTGAAAGTAAAAGAAAGTCCCAAATTTTTGATTGACACCAGAACAAGAATATAAAGGGATATCTTCCAATGGGGACACCCAGGAATTCTCTAATTTTGGATGGATTTCCTCTCACTTACTACTTTGGCTATGAGACAGGAAGTGCAGGGATATCTCCCTAATGGGAGATTGAAGAAAAAAAAAAAAAAAAATGATAGCGCACCAAAACTGTGGAACACAGTAGAACTTTATGGAAAAGGACAGCTAACCCGCCCCAAACCTGCGGATACACTGCACTGCACATGGTGTGGGAAAACCACTTTAAAAGTGGTTATAAACCCTTACCCATACCCAGTGAAGGGTATGGGTAAGGGTCAGCATCAGGCGATACACAAAGGTGAAACAAACCCTCCTATGTTATACCTGTTTATCTGCACCTCTCTTCTCTACAGTCTTACAAAACATACATTTTACACAGCATCTTTGAACTCTGAGAAGCAGGGGGTGAAGATCTGAAGTCTCACACTGCACAGCTCAGTGAGTAGAGCTCTGAGCCCTGCTTGGTGGGAAGGGACACCTCTCCTACTTACAGTACACAGGAACATGCACAGCCATGACTGTCAATCACAGGCTGTGTGCTGGAACTCTCTTGCCCCATCATCTCTTGGAGTTGGGAAAAGCTGTCAAAAGTGACTCATGCAGACAAAGGAATGAGGAAGCAGAGAGAAACCACACTCAATGCTTTGGATAGAGACACGTACAAAAAATAGAAAGATGTGGTTTGTTCAAATTTCGTGTCTCAGGTTTACAACCACAGGGAAGCTAAGCTAAGTATATATCCCCATCACATTTCTGTTTAAAAGAAAACTTCTGCATCATCCATTTTTATCCCACATGTCATAATTGCTTTGCCATCAACAATATATGTAACATATGGATAGTTGCACGTTGTGAAGAATCTAACAAAAAAAGAAAAAACGATATGACAAGATTACAGAGGTTAAGGAAGCCATGGCCTTAACTAATCACTTTCAGACTAATTGAAGTATTTGCTATAGGCAAATTGTTTTCTACCTGGGGCAATCCGTGGCCAACTAGGAACGAATGACAAATTACCTGGGTCAGTGTTACTTACCACCATGTCACTTCTAGGTTAAGTTTTATTGTACCAAGATCATTTATGTCAACAGCGACAGCTTGGGGACGTGCAGCAAACAAATCCTTCGTTTCACAAGTAACACTTCCCACCAGCATATGAGTGGCTATTCCTTTAAGCTCTGTCACCTAAGAGAACAAATACATCTATAAAAACAGTTCTGCTATAAACACACAAATCCGCAAGATTTTGTACCAACTGGCAGACCGATACCTTTATTGATATTAAACTGTTAATCAGCGGAAGAAAAAACATTTCTTCTCCATCCCAACTCTGTTTGCCATTAACCTCAATTTTGCCTTTTAGTTTCCACCTCTGACGCCCATATCTCATGAATATCTGAAAACAACAGGAGAGGTTTTTACAATTAACATGCAACTGTAGAATGAATGACTGATCTGAAAAAGAATGAAACAAATGCAATTAAAGAGCTATAGCTTGAATTTAATAGGGATGTTTTGGAAGGCAAAAAAAAATAATAATTTTGGAATATTCGCAAAACAGATAAAGATTTCATGTCTCTGTCCCACATAAGAACATGTTCAGCATTATCGCATTAGCGCTGTTATTTATTGTATTTGCACAGACATACATGTTTCTCATGTCACTGATATGCCGGATTCTCTTTTTACACCTACTTCATGGAAAATAACCTATATAAAACAAATGGTAATACAGAAGGTAGAGCCTTTACAAATTATGAGCAAATGCTCTAAATGTGTCTTCATATTTATATATAAACAGTACTAACAATTACAGCGCAAAAAACTAAATTTAAATAACAAGCAAGCGTACACTTGAGTTTTTTGTAGACTTCAGGTTACAAGTATAAAGCATGTGTCTCTCTCTACTGGAGATTAGAGGAAAAAACAACTAGAGCATCTTTTTGCACTGAACAGCTAAAGCCACAAAAACTTGGAGTGAAGTCAGGGTAAGGCAAGTTTCTCTTAACCAACACAAATAACTAGTCTCTCCATCTCTAGGATGGACTTGAACCCTAGAAGTCCTACAATGCAGACTAGGGACACTTGACAGTTTAGAAATTGTTGATCAATATGCCGCTTATACCACCTACTGAGCAGAGGTAAGCATGGAATGCTTGGTGTCCAGAGGATAAAAGAATACGTATAAGGAGAATGAAGAGACCTTCCATGGGCTTGCTTTTTTCAGATTAAGGCAAATATAACCATTACAAGATTTTTGAATGTTCCTGTGGGATGGTTTTTATATCTGTAGCCACATGAAGACCAGAGTAGACCCTCCATTTTCAGGATATCTATGGTCAGTTTCCCCTGTTTACAGAAACATCAGAAAACAACCAGGTTCCAAGTGCAAATAATGTGGAACAAAACTCTTTGATATTTTTCTTGTATACCAGTGCATAAAAGTTAAAGTGATAAACCTAAAATGGAATTTACTGAGTGGCAAAACCAATTAAATGCTGAAAATGGCAACATATTGGATTTGATTAACATGGTATGAAACCCAAAACCAAACATTTATTATGCTGTAGCTTACCAATTCTTACATGGCTGCATTGGTTTTCTTTCCTTTGTTTTCACCTGGTGATCCTGACAGTAAAGCCGGCCATACATGGATCAAAATTTGTTTAGTTCAGCAGGAACTGGACAAAGTTCAATCCATCTATGGGCAGGCGGGTAGTACTAAAGTTGATCTACCAGTCTGTTGGGGTTTTTTTTCATACGATTACTGCCAGGGGCTATAGCCGCCAGCAGTGATCATTGTGGTTCAGATGGCAAGGATGCCGCCAGAATAAAATAATGCAGCAGAAGGCATTCCCCCATCAACACTGACTTTATGCAGTTTTTCCTTCCTTAAACCATGGGTTGAATGAAAGAAATTTGCTCAATCTATGGGCAACCTAAATCTGTTGTCTTTCAATAGAACAAGCTGTCCTGCAGATGTAGCAGTTACAGGGTCAAGACAAACCATTTACTGCTGACAGGGCTGCTTAAAATGATCAGCATTTATGTAAAGCCTTGATCACAAAAGGAAAAACCGTTTGCTGTTACTAATTATAGTGTTAGCTGGAGTTCAGCATCAATTTGTTACTGTATCTAAATTTGCTAGCACATCTAACACTTCCCTCCCCCCAGACTAACAATGCTGCTGTTTGCTGTGCCTCCTGTGCTCATGCATCCAGAGTGGAGTATATTAAATGTTTGGTTTTGGGTTTAATACAGCTTTAAAATAAAAACATAAATTATGCTCCTTATAGACAGCTAAAATAATTATTTTAAAATAAAATTATACAGGTTTTAACTCCCAGTGCAAACATGTTCCCACCTCATATTGGTCTCCTGGACATAAACGGGCAAAGCCAGCTAGACCTGAAGATAACAAAATAATATGTTAATATTCAAAAAAAATGTGAGTCTGCAACCACAAAGAAAGGATAGATATTAATGTGCCTCAGATAACGTAAGCACTGGTGTAAACCTTCCTAGAAATCCTTCATCCCAAACATAAAAAAAAAATATTTTTCTCTGGTGAATGTCTTTAGTTTCCATGCAGGTGAATTATTACAGTAAAAAAGATTATATAGTACAGAGTAAGCACTTTGTGATTGAAAAGGCTTTTGACCAACATAAAAACGGTTGAGACAATTTAGAAAATGAATGAAAATAATTTGTGTACTGCAAGGTTTTTGAAAGTTTCTGATACAACTATTGCCGTGGACGTTATGTATTAAAACTTAAGTTTTCTTTTAACCCAAGAGTATGTATCAATGCACATCTAAAATGTATTTAATCAAAGTAACATGAAGAGAAAAACATTAGATTAATTTACAAATGTAATATACTGTTATCTAAAGTGATGCCAACTATCACACTTGTGTAGGTAGGGAGCCTGTATATATTCGCACGTTCCCAAACCCCGGGCAAAACGTGCTGCTCTTTAGCAGACATGCGGGGGTGCCCCCATGTTTAGGGAAGCGTGACATGTTTTTGTATGTGTGAAACTGCATGTTGTCACAGCACTGTGAATGTGTGGTTTAAAAAAAAAAAAAAAAAAAAAAAAAGGTGCCTGCATTTCCCACAGGTACAGGAGCCTATTCAAATGGAGGAGATCAACTATGAGGAAAGATTAGAGGAACTGAATTTATTCTCTTTTGAGAAGGAGATTAAGGGGGGATATGATCAACATGTATAAATACATCAGTGGTTCATATAGGGAACTCGGTGTAGTTATTCACTTTGAGGTCATCACAGAGGACAAGGGGGCACTCTTTCCATGGTTGGAGATTACATTTATTTTCCTCCAGATGTAAAGGTTTCTTCACAGTAAGAGCTGTGAGAATGTGGAATTGATTCCCTCAAGAGTTGGTTCTGGCCAGCTCAGTGGATTGCTTTAAAAAAGGCCTGGATTCTTAGATACACAGAATATAACTGGTTACTAACATTTTTAGGTAAAGTTGATCCAGGGAATATCCGATTGGATCAGGAAGGAATTTTTTTTCCTTGCAGGAGCAAATTGGATCATGCTTAGCTGGGTTTTTGTGCCTTCCTCTGGATCAACTGTAGGTATAGGATTATAACTTTTTTTTTTTCCTTTATGGTTGAACTGGATTGACTTGTCTTTTTTCAGCCAGACTAACTATGGAACTATGTAAATGAATGGACTGCTATGCCCACACAAACACGTGCCACACAGCCTGCATAAGTGTGAACCTGGGCTAAACTGTGGTTTTAAAAAAAAAAAAAAAATCTATTCAAAGTACATATTCTTAACTCAAAAAACATTGCCTTGTATTGCTCTCAGCCGATTTCCTGTGAGATGGTGGCTACATTTGTTCTTGATGGTCCTACTGTCATGTAGGAACATCGTCACCCTCTCTTGCTTGCTCCCAAGATGGACTAGGGACTAAGGCATTTGTACTGTGCATAGAGCAGTGCATATAAGGTGAGGGCAAAAAAGGAAAGGACATTACAAGGAGTTAGAAAAACACAGTTCGAAACGATTTTTCCTGAAAAATAGGGCCATTAAGTAGTGGATGTGTATAGATTATTTTTGGAGAAGAAGGATATGGTTTAGTGTTACTTTAATGACACACAAACACTAGGTGGCAGGAGTGACTCATAATGGTAAACTAAACAATACATAAAATCAACAAACACCAAACAAATCTCTTAACAAGAGATTTTTATTTTTTTTTCGCGTTACCATAAAAATCATTGTCAGATGAAAAATATATTGTATATTTTTGGAGGACTACACAATCATCACAATTAGGAATAAAAAGGATATAGAAATGAAATAAGGAAAGAATTATACACTGTACAACCAACCTCTACATTAGCTGATCCCCCTGTACCCAATTTGTTTTGGCATTGTCTGAGTACAGAATGTTTATTACCTTTCATTTTAATGTAAAATTCTCCCAATAGGCTTTCCATTTCAGCTTCAACAGTGCACATATTCTGGAAAAAAAAAAATAAAAATAAAAATGTATCTAAACAAACTGGGGTTCATAATTCGTAAGGGTGAAGAATTATGGTTCAACACCTAGTCATTCATTAAAGTGTCATTAAACCCACATCATAGAAAACTATCAATAAATGCTGTAAGTTACATGTTGTTCATAAATCACTCACTTGCTTTGGGATTTGTTTTATGTATTCTGCAAAAAACCTGGTTGGATCCTGCTGTCCTCCATCTCCCCCTTCTGTCCATGTCCCCACTGCAGTTAAAGACTTTGCAGAGCAGTGTTGGCAGCTAGTGCACATGCTCAGTTTTCACTGTATTTTTCTACCCTGAGCATTTCCTACCCGTCACCTCTGAGCAGTCCATATGACTAGAAAGTCTTACATGTGAACATTCACATCAGTCCCTAACCCTCAAGGGGTGTACAATCTAAGGTCCCTAACTCACATTCATACATACAAGGGCCAATTTAGACAGGTCCCTAACTCACATTCATACATACAAGGGCCAATTTAGACAGGAGACAATTAACCTACCAGCATGTCTTTGGAGTGTGGGAGGAAACGGGAGTACACAGGGAGAACATGAAAACTCCAGGCAGATGGTGACATGGTTGGAATTTGAACCTGTGACCATGGTTGGGATTTGAACCAGTGACCTTAGTACTGCCAGGCAGACGTGCTAACCACTTAGCCACTGTGCAGACTTGCTTGGGGTCTCACAGATTATTGCCGTTAGAAGTAGCCAGGCAACTAGCATTTTAGGAGGTCAGCAATGGCAGCCCCCATATCTCTGTTACAGACTCTTAGTACTTTGTGCAATGTAATGGAAACATAAACCTGATGATGTACTAGCATTTGTGTGACGGCTACTATTTCAAGCCAGGAAAACAACAGATCATTTTGAGATATATAGTAACTTTACAGAAACGTGTATGAACTGGTATAGCTGTATTTAATCTGTAAGTAAGCCTGCAAGTAGTTCCAGCTTGGACTATAAAACATCACCATCAGCCAACTGCAAGAGGCACTCCTGTTATGAGCGCTTGACAGCAATATTATGCAGTCTCCACATCAAGGTGAATAAAGCACCCAGTGATGCTTTATTCACGATGGTGTGTTGCTTCTAACACTAACAATGCACAGAAAAAAAAATGGCATACCTCAGTGTACTCTTTATAGCTTTTATTTATTTCACTCAAGCTCTCTCGTGCTGCCCTGCTTGAGGGGGATGCAGCAAATGCCTGCTTCATCTTACTTGCTCCCTCTCTTAGGCGTCTCTGGATGCAGTAGGCCTCATATAGCTCGTCAACCTTGGGAAGCAAAAAGCAAAAACATGTTTTAGTACATAAACGTGTATTTCACTACATTAAATGTACGTCATTGAATATTATGTAAAGCATAGCTTTGTAGGCCAGTTGGATACTTTGGAATCTAGTCCAGGTAAAGGCTTATCTAGTTTTTGAATTTCTATTTGGTTTTTGATTCTGCTGGTTAACCCCTTGGCGCCGGTGCCTCGCAGCCCTTTAAGGGTTCCAGAAGCCAGGAAGCGGGGCGGGGGTTTTAAGGTCATGTGACCACCGTGATTCACGATCACATGATTGGGAAAGGTCCCGATTCAAAGAGGAGATCAGGACCTTCCGTGAGCACCAAACGTGTGTGCTGGAGAGCGCGCAGGGCGTGCACTCTCAGCACATATGTTTTTTTTAATAGAACGCAAATGTGCGGCCGCTCGGCGTCTGTTGATTGAGAGAGTGAAGTTCCACTTTAGGTTGGTTGTCCTTTGAAGTAGCTGAATGGCAGAAGAACTTATTGTCAGACTCAGACCTACCAAATGATTTGTAATTTTGGCCAGCTAAACTGCAATATATAATATTTGTGTTATAAACAAATGTAAGTTCCACTTTGAAGACAGAAAACCTTCTCTCAATTTGTGATAGAACAAGATGGTGGGGCCATGTCATTCATATGTTCATCGATTAGCAAACCAGCTCTTAAAGTGCCAGCTTTGACACAATGCTGGCCTTACAAAAAAAAAAAAAAATTAATAAAATGAATAAACTTTGTTTGAAATTCCCAGTATTAGAGGATAATCATTGGTTCACATTTTGCCAGCCACAATCTTGATGTAAATAAAGTAGCGTAGTTGGATTCCCCACTCATCATTTTCTTAAGGGAATTTACAAAAGATTGCAGCACACAATTTGAAGCAGGTGTGCATGGCAACCCATCAAATTTATCTTTCAAAGCTTAATGACACTAAACTCGGGTTAAAAAAAAAATATATATTAATGTATGTATTCTTAAAGTGGTTCTAAAGGCAGAAGGTTTTTTTACCTTAAACGCATTCTATGCATTAATCACTTGCCCTCCTGAGGATTTATCCCCCTTCCTGACCAGGTCATTTTTGCGTTAGGGCACTGTGTTATTTTGACAATTGCGTGGTCATGCAAAGCTACACCCAATTAAATTTACGTCCTTTTCCCACTAATTGAGCTTTCTTTCTGTGGTATTTGAATGCCTGTGCGGTTTTTATTTTTTGCACTATAAAAAAAAAAAAAAACAAAAAAAAAAAAAAACACAAAGGCCGACAATTTTGAGAGAAAAAAAAAAAAATATATATTTTTTTGACTTTTTGCTATTAAACATGTCCAGTAAAAAAAAATTTAAATTCTAGGCCAAAATTTATTTTGCTACATGTCTTTGCTAAAAAAAAATCCAATACTTGTAAATTAGTTTGTTTGCATGAAAGTCATAGCGTTTACAAATGGCGGCATAGATACTGGATTTTTTTTTACTAGTAATGGCGGCGATCAGCTACTTATCGGGACTGCGGCAGACATTCTGCCACTGGGAGGAACTGACTGTGTCACTGACATCCCCAATGACACCAATACAGTGATCAGTGCTAAAAAAAAAAAAAAAAAAAAAAAGCACTGACACTAACTAATGGCACTGGGCAGGTAGGGGTTAACATGAGGGGCGATCAAAGGGTGCAGGGAGTGTTTTACTGGGGGGTGGTGTATGTGCGCTTCACTGTAATCACACTGCTCTGGATGGCTGTGCTGTGCACAGTCATCCAGAGCAGAATGCCTGAGCTGACAGGGAGAAGGGACTGTTTGTAAACAAAACAGTCCTCTTCCCCATCAGAGATGCTTGGTAATCATGGATCAGTATATCTACTATAGGGTGGCGGGACAGCGGTTAAGTTAAAAAGTGTACTGGGTGCAGCTTCCCCCCCCCAGACACCCCCTTATGCTTCCCTGAGCCCAATCTTGATACAGCGTTGTGCATTAGAGCAGCGGCTCCCCCAAGTTTTTCTATCTTCATTGGCGCACACAACAGCTGCTGCAGCTGCAATGGGGGGTAGGCTTGGCCGAGCCACACTCTGTGTTTGAATGGATAAAGTCAACTCACTGGAGCGTGCAGCTCGGGGACAAGCCTGCTCAAATGACCCCATAGCAAGGGGCTTACTACTAGGGGCACTTGGTGAGGAGAGGAGCCAGGACCGCCAGCGGGGGACCCAAAAAGAAAAGGATTGTGGTTGCTCTGTGCAAAACTTTTAGAATCACTTTAAATTAAACAAAAAAAAAAAAAATTCTATCTGGACTTCAGCTCATTACACACAGCTTGCTGTTTTAGGAAATTATTCCTCACACAAAGGGACACATTCATTGTTTGTAACTAACCTGCCTTCTTATGCTCCATACAGGCAAAAATGAATGCATGTCTCCTAATGATGATATGACTTGCTGAACTGTACCTTTTGTAATCCTTTATAAAAGGATGGTTATGGCCCTCAGGGCTCTCTGTTTTCTGTATTTGTCTTATTTCAATAAAGTATCTGTGGAACTAATAAAATCCCTTCTATTGTTCTCAGCCTCCTCAAAATCCATAAATTCTATTCTATTATTTCTCTTGTCGTGATTTGACATCCTGCTTAGAGGAAGGTTAGATTCGTTCTCTGTGGTCCCACTGTGTGTAGGAAAGTAGCCAGCCTTTTTGGCTCGCTCTGAGATGGACTATGGGCTATTGAACTTGTAGTGTGCACAGAACATTGCACAAGACCGCAACTAACAAGTACTGCTCATCTCAAACAAAAAGGAAGTGAAAGAGGAAACGGAGCGGTTCAGGAGCTCACGGAAGATGGTACAAGGATGCAGAAAAACACAGTAAGAAACAATTTTTCATGAAATATAGTACTATAGTATAGTATAGAGACAAGTACAAGAAGGAAAAAAAAAAAAAAAGGCTTGTACACACGATGAGAATATCGGACGAATGATTGTCCGCTCTCTTTTTTTTGCATGCTAGACTCATATCTAAACAAAATTGGTTACTAGATTTATGAAAGTTCTCGTAAAACAGAAAACAACTTCCCGCAATTATAGTGTCCTTTTAAGAAACAGAGATCAGCGGCGATCCTGAGGATCGTTGCTGATCTCAGATCATTAGTGGTTTAGGAAACAGATGATCAGCGGAGAGCATGTTCTCCGCTGATCATCTCAGCACACAGATGGCCAGTATATGAAGGAGCGATGTCAGCCCTTCACTGGCGAAGTATGTTCTTCCTCCAGATTCTCCAGCCCAGAGCTCGAGAATCAGGGGAACCGCATTGAAGCAGCGGTAATTTACTGCTGCTTAGTAAACAGTGTTTGACTGATCGTACTGTAATCTCGCGAGATCATCGTAAAAGCAGCCGTTTTCCAGCGTTCAAAGCGTTTGTAGATGGCGTCTCCCTTCATTCGGAGAAGTGATCTACACCGCTTCAGAAAAAGGCATTCAGAAGAGAACTCTCTCCTCTGAGAATACCAGAGAACTGAGCACTTACCCGCACATGATAAAAGGACACCCATGTAATTTATTATATTGTAATATATTCCTTTGTTCCTGATCATGCGTGGTCTTTGTCGCTTGATTTTTTTTTTTCAAATGAATACTGTACTGATTAAAACAAAAATTGTTCGATTTGGTATTGTACACAAAATTGTTCGCACTTGTCCCTTTGGATAATTTTGCATAAATTGTCATGATTGGCTCTTGAAAGCTGTGTACTATCAGAATATCGGCTGATCATTGCGAAAACGTTTTTTCTTCCGATTTTCTCATTGGGTGTACTAGGCTTAAGGGCATCAATTCGTGTCAGTTGAGGCTAAAAAAGTTAGTAAAATTCCCCCGTGTGTGCAAAGAGAGAGATATGCTGTGTTTTGAAGAAAAAAAAACTATATACGTTAGTTATAAGGGTTTTAAAGCAAAAAACATATTGAACATGGACTACACAATTTGTAACAAATGTTAAAAACAATTCCTAGAATTGCAGCACCCGTCTAGGCAGATTCTACAGTTGTGGCCAAAATTATTCAACCCCCAATGCTGTAAAGGGGTTTAGGGACTATAGTGTACATTTGGAATTGTATTCAGAATCAAATCCTACAAGGACGTTGTAACTACCCAAATGCAACTAAAAATGACATCAATTGTTTATGTAATACAGTAGTAAATGGTTCTTATGTGGTTTCTTCATTGCCACAATTATTCAACCCCTTAAAGACTACCACTCTGAAGAACAGAGGTTCATACAGGTGCTTTCCATCAGGTATTGAAAACACCTGTGGATGTCACCGAGCAGCAATCAAGCATAATAAGCACCAATTAGGCAGCTTTAAAATGACTGTGATACTCAGCTCCTTCTAGACATTTACTGGTGTGGTTACAAACATGGTGAAGGCAAGAGAATGGTCCAGGAAGACAAGAGAAGAGGTGATTTCTCTTCACAGGAAGGGCAATGGCTATAAGAAGATTGCAAAGATGTTAAACATACCAAGAGACACCTTAGGAAGCATCATTCGCAAATTCAAGGCAAAGGGCACTGTTGAAACGCTACCCTGGTCGTGGCAGAAAGAAGATGCTGACTTCGACTGCTGTGCGCTACCTGAAGCGTAGAGTGGAGAGAAGTCCCCGTGTGACTGCTGAGGAACTGAGAAAAAAGATTTGTCAGATGGTGGGTACAGAAGTTTCAGCCCAGACAATAAGACGCACACTGCGTAATGAAGGCCTCCGTGCCAGAACTCCCAGGCGTACCCCCTTGCTGTCTCCAAAGAATAAGAAGAGTCGACTGCAGTATGCCAAAAGCCATGTGGACAAACCACAAAAGTTGTGGGATAGTGTTCTGTGGACTGATGAAACAAAATTAGAACTGTTTGGGCCCATGGATCAACGCTATGTTTGGAGGAGGAAGAACAAGGCCTATGATGAAAAGAACACCTTGCCTACTGTGAAGCATGGTGGAGGGTCAATCATTCTGCAGGTACAGGGAAGCTTCAGCGTGTGCAAGGTACCATGAATTCTCTTCAGTACCAGGAGATATTGGATGGAAACGTGATGCAGTCCGTCACAACTGAGGCTTGGGAGACGTTGGACCTTTCAACAGGACAATGATCCCAAGCATACCTCCAAGTCCACTAGAGCATGGTTGCAGAGGAAAGGCTGGAACATTTTGGAGTGGCCATCGCAGTCACCAGACTTAAATCCGATTGAGAACCTCTGGTGGGACTTAAAGAAAGCAGTTGCAGTGCGCAAGCCTAAGAATGTGACTGAACTGGAGGCCTTTGCCCATGAAGAATGGGCGAAGATACCCGTAGATCGCTGCAAGACACTTGTGTCAAGCTATGCTTCACGTTTAAAAGCTGTTTATAACTGTAAAAGGATGCTGTACTAAGATTGAATGTCACTTGGGGGTTGAATAAAACTGATAATGCTGTGAGCACAGAAAAGACATTTGTGGTTATTTCATTATAACTGTTATGTTATATTTGTCTGACCTACAAGTGCCTCTTTAATGTAAATGTAAGCAAGATGACTGAATGATCAAAAGCAATGTCAAACTGGCCAAAACACTCAATTTCAGTGGGGGTTGAATAATTTTGGCCACAAACTGTATTTGAAACAAGTGGTATTAGGCGTCAATAAACAGGAAGTGCACAGAATCACATAACAGGATGCAGGAAAACAGGTGGCATTGAAGAGGAGAAGCTGAACGCAGCATGCGCCAACATGACCAGCCACAAAACAGCTGCAAACCCAGCTATTCCATAGAAACATTTACACTATTTATAGAAACTTCTCTATCAGGGGCTGCAGAGATGCCTCCAAGGATACGCACAAAGAAATACATTTGTTTAGATACCCATTTAGCAATTCCATACCTTGAGCTCATTCTCATACTATTTTTACATTTTTTAAATTCTCAACACAACGTAATTATGTACGGAAAGCAACCCTTTAAGCATTTTTTTTTTACTACAGTATATGTATGCTATTTTTATTCATTTATGTGTTTCAAATGAACCCAGCTTTTATACTGACAGATATGATACATGCCATTCGTGTGGATGTCCTACATGCACCTTTGCTATCCAATCCACTAAACTAACCTAATTCTGTATCGGCTCATGTACACGGGACATTTGGAAAACTCTTCTGAACGATGGAAACTGACTGCTGGAAAACGTAGGTTGAAAAACGTCAGTTTAGCCGCATTTGCATACTGCATTTATGCGCGTTTGCGTTTAGAAGAGTTTTTAAAAGAACCTCAGGAGACCTTCCCAAATGCCCAGAATGCACTGAAAAATAGTAAAAAAAATTACTATTTCAGACATTTTGAGAGGAATAGAGAGCAGAAGCAGACAGAGCAGTATGTGTTGAGATTACTTGTCTTTTCTGGTTGTATTCACTATGGACCCAATCATGAGCATAATACGGCACGTTCTACCATTTATTTCTTCACGAAAAACCTGGAACTGACTGCACTGGTGTACTATGTCCATTTGAATACACGGAAATCGCTTTGCATACATTTCTGATGACGACAAAGGCTCTGGACAGCATCTGGACATGGAACATTTAAAAACCACTTCTAAACGCAAACGCTTATAAATGTGGTTAACCGCGTTTACAAGCATTTGAAAACGCTGGTAAAATCTATTCCTGAACCCAAGTTTGGTGCGTTAAAAAAAACCAAAAAAACCCAAAAAGACTGTAAACTCAACGGCCTGTAAACGACTATGTGTACATGGACACATAGGAAAACAAAGGAGAGTTCAGGGCCTGCTGAAAGAAATGCTGAACAGCTCCTGAACATCAGTTTAGGAGCTGCAGTGTGCATGAGCCCTATTTGTGAAACATTGTATTCTTCATATGTGACAAAATCCTCAAACTTGATGGAAAGGTTTGTCTTTGATGATCTTTCGCAGTAATGGTGGCAGCTAGAAAGTCCCATGCTGTCCTCTCTGCAACTACTATTACTAGGATGCTCCAATTTAATGAGGTGGCTAACTGTAGACCAGGGTTTCTCAACCAGGGTTCCTAGGGGTTCCTTGAACAATGAGCAGTTTTTGCAGCTAAGATAAGTTTCCACTGACACCATTGACCTTTTTAGTGGTTAGGGTGAGATTCTCCCCATTGACCACAAGTGTAAGGAGCATTCTTCCCACTGACCGTCACACTAATGTATGATGAGCTATAGATCTAGTACTTTTCAGCAGGGGTTCCCTGAGCCTGGAAAGTTATTTCAAGGGTTCCTCCGAGGTAAAAAAAAAAAAAAGTTGAAAAAGACGGCTATAGACCTTCAAAAATTAACTTGGACTTTGTCACTTATCACTTTGTCTTGACCTGCAACCTAGGGCATTCTAATATGCAAATCTTGACTCCAGAAAGGAAAGTTGACAGTTAGTAACCAAAACCAATTTTCAAGAGACTGCTGACTAAGGTAATCCATCTCACCAAGGCTGGCTGCACACCGCAGCGCTGCAATTTGGGTGCAGTGCGTTTGTATGCACATTCTACTTGTGGTTTAGGGTGTGATCCCATCGACTTCTATTACATTGTGCGCTTTCATTAAAGCGCATCAAAGTTCTGCATGCTGCATCTTTGATGCACTTTCAGAAAATGCATGATCTGATCTAAAATTGCATGCAATAAGTGCACTCAACTGCACCCAAACCACATCACTCCTCAGCAACAGAAAATCTATATAGCATTTTTACAGAATTGCCTCATGTGAATATGGCCTAAAAGATCTATGGCAACATCAGCTAACTTTCAACTTTCCTTTCTGTAGATTTAGAGATTTTGCATTTTCATTACGTATATCAATCTTTTTCAGTTAAAGCACATAACAGCATGGTATTTTTCCAAGTCATGCATTTGTCACAACCATTATTTATAATGATCGGGTCATGTAGAACCTCCCTTTTGAAAGAAGTACTTTTTTCTTTTGTATGCACAGAGCTTTTCTAACTTGCAGAAAAAATTTCTATGTAGGTGGGTGCCAGTCATTCTGTTTTCTATAAATAAATCCACATTATTAGGTTTGCATCATATCCATCCATCAGCCTAGTCAGAGAGAACATCTGAGCACATCCCAGCAGTGCCCCAACGCAGTGGAGGATAGGAAGGTCACCTCACTATCAATCATTTTCAGTGGCACCTCTCACTGTTCAGCCTTACGGTGATGAAGATACTGACTGTTCCTAAATGTCATAAAAGGATATTAAAACTCTTTTGAAGTCTTAAAACCCTTTTTCTATAGGCCTACACCTCCATATGTTATGATTTTTAATGGATTCTACCTAAACTTTTTTCTTGTTGTGGAGAGGCACTTTCTGACCCTCTGCTCCCAAGAACCACTCCTCAGCAGTAGAAAATCTATTCAGCACTTTTACATCACTGCCTGTAACATACCCTAGAAATGATAACCTACAGAACAGCACCCATCATTCTTCAATCTAGGATGCCTGATGTGCGTATTGCTTAAAAACCATGATCGGCAGCAATGGCAAAGCTACAAATTCTGTAACTACAGATCACTACACTACACCGTGGTAGCAGATGGAGTACATATAGTATTCCATCAGTGAGCTCCCATGATAGAGTGCAAATGCTTTGCCTCGGATATGTCAATCACAGCAGAATGGGCAGTTCTGCGCTGAGAATGCTTACATAGATGAGTAAAGGCCATACCCCTCATCTCAAGCGTCCTTGTACACATAAGAGGGGGTATATATGGCCAGGACTGCTAGATTACAGACAGTACTTGGCAAGGCAGATGTCAACATCTGATGCCTTTTAGACCACACACTCACTTAGACACACTCTGTATTTGCTGTAACAGGAACCTAGGAACATTACTATGAACACAGAGGCAGTTACCACAATGTTTGTTGGAATTAATATCTATTTTGGTGACTAAAATTGGGCTTTGCAGAGGGGATTTAAAAACAGACCAAGCCACAATTACAAATGCATTATAACTAGGTATCCTAGCACAATTTCAAAACTTGATGTTACTTTGCAAATACCTTGCTGATATGAAATTCCAGTCTTCTTATGTACCTCTCAATGGTTTTGATTTGCTATAAAAGGAAGATATAAACAAGTTTTTTATAAACCGACTGGGCTACACACTATAAATTTCACACTTGCCTGGAACTTTCATACGCATACATGTTTCCCATTACTTTTCCCCAAACAAATGCAAACACTATATTGAAAACAGGCGACGCAGAAAAAGGGCCAGCCATTTTTTTGACAATCAGGCTCCCTAAGCAAATACAAATCGGTCCTACTGCTGTAAAAATGGTGCATGTCAGTGATTTTGGTCATTTAAAGTGTCTGTTTACTTTGGCATGACCTGGACGTTTAGGATGCCAAAGGTTCTTATCTACAAAAGTCCTGACAAACCTGTCCATGTTTTATTTATTCTATGCGGTAGATGTATTTTTCTGAACAAGTATACTTTTTTTTGTTTTAGCTTAATCCCCAATCTATGTGTGTTTCTGAGAGCCATCCTTCAACCTTTAATTTCCATCTCATCCCCAAAAGTAGCCCAGTCCTTGCTATTCAGACTCTAAAGCCTTGATTGCCCAAGTGGATAGGTGTTCTCTACAGCTCACTACCAAATAAACCTATTCTGACCCAATAAATGTCTATAATCTAAATAAGTAAACTGCAGGGTTACATGGTTACATAGTTGGTTGAACTGGATGGACTTTTTTTTTTTTTTTTTTTTTAATGTGGCTGAAAAAAAGACAAAAAGTTATAATCCTATACCCACAGTTGGTCCAGAGGAAGGCAAAAAAAAACCCCAGCAAAGCATGATTCAATTTGCTCTTGCAGGGGAATAATTCCTTCCTGATCCCCCTAGAGGCAATTTGATATTCCCTGGATCAACTTTACCTATAAAATGTTAGTAACCACTTATATTCTGTGTATCTAGGAAAAAACCTTTTTTTGAAGCAATCCACTGCGCTGGCCAGAACCAACTCTTGAGGGAGTCTATTCCACATTTTCACAGCTCTTACTGTGAAGAAACCTTTCCGTGGTGGTGGTTGTTATTGATTTTAGTTATCCACAGAGGACATTAGGCCCAAAACAGGATTCAAGAGAAGGCTTTTTGGGTGAGAGTGCACATTCAAATTGCAGTAGTTAGCATATTTATCTCAGAAACACCAGCTGGAGGTAGTGTACCCAAATATTTCTGGTTTTCCTGTAGGGAACAATAGACATGGGACAAAGTTTTCAAATCTGCCTAAGAAAGGTCCCTTTCACACAGGGCGGACTCAGTTCTGATCAACAGGGGATCCGCTCACAGACCCCCACTGATTAGAGCAGTGAGTGGACACGGACAAAGTGGGCAGCCGGCTGTAAACAGACTCCGCTCTCCGTTTACATCCAACTACCCTCTGATCTGCCAAAACGGAAGACAAGTCCCTTCAGTTTTTTTCTTTTGTAGTGGACCGGATTGGAACGGCTTGTCGATAAGGATGTATGAACCCTCCAATCATCCTGTCAGTTTTTCAGGTGGATGCAATTGGATCCCCCATGTGAAAGGGGCTATTGTTTTCAGCAAGGCTCAGAGATGTATCAGCTACTAATCATACGACAGACCAAGAGACAATCTTGTGTCTATAGCCAATTTGACAATTGTGGCAGGATAACACTCTTCTGCAGAGAGCAGTACAGTAAAAATGAGGGTGGAAGGGTAAAAGGAAAAAAAAAAAAAAAAAAAAAAAAGTGTGGAGTTCCTGTATTTATTTTCCAATTATACTTACCTAAGTAGATGCAGCATCAGTCCATTGCTGCATCTGTCCCCTGTCGGCATGACTGCTGATCGCCGAGTTCTCACAGCCGCTCTGAGCAGGGAGAGCGGTGACTGTCAGTCATCACTGTCTGCTCTGCTCACCAGCGCTCACTGGAGTGCTGGGCTGTGGAGGGGGTGGGGACGGCTGGCTCAGGCTCTCAGTGGCTTGCTGAGAGGCTGAGTCAGGTGCCGCTCCAGACTCTGGGCTGGATCCAGACTTTGAAGTCAGGATCTTTCCCCAGCCTGGGCTGGCTGAAAACGGGTCACAGGAGTGCTGTGGCTGTGCTTCTCCTTTAAAGCTGAAGTTTAGCTAAAGAAACAACTTTTTTTTCCTCTTTAGATTTAGTTACATTACTTACCGTAAGGAGTTATTAAAAAAGGCAAATATTTTTTTAAATTAAAACAACATGTTATACTCACCTGCTCTGTGCAGTGGTATTGCACAGAGTGGCCCCGATCCACCTCTTCTCGGGTCCCCCACCAATGTTCCTGGCTCCTCCTCCTTTGTTTGTTCCCATAGCAAGCTGTTTGCTATGGGGACAAATGCTGCATGTTCGTCCCTGACCTGTGTGTCTATCAAGCCACGTTCCATAGACACACACAGCGGACTTTGCCCCGCCCTCCACTTCCTCTTCACTACACTTGATTGACAGCAGCAAGAATCAATGGCTCCTGCTGCTGTTCGAATCCCTGTGTGAAGAGGAAGGGGAGAAGAGATGGAGCTGTGCACAGTGCTGATCTCTTTTCCCCTCTATTCCCCTTCACACAAGGAACTTAAAAATGTTTTTTACCTTAATGCAAGCAATGCATTAAGGTAAAAATAAACATTTTTAGATTTAGTATCACTTTAAAGTATATGTTTTTTAATATGAAATCACATGACCTCTGTTCTCAGCTGCATAAAGGGGCTTAGAAAGCTGGGTGGAGATTGCAGGGGGGTATGTCAGCAGAGACAAAGACAGCAGTACCACTGGAGCACAGCTTGCCTCTTCACTGGGAAGATCAAAGTAGAATGCAAATATAAAACTGACCACACTTGGCTGGATATGCTTTTATACCTGACATGGTTAGCTTAAAACAGAAAAAGCATGGGGACTGCCAGTATCACCAGCTATTTCACACAAAGGGAACAATGCAAACAGAACAGGATACTTTTTAATACACTGATGAAGTATGTTCCATGATGTGCAGGCTGCTGAATTCAGTAGAGGTCTTCACTGCAGAGCTGCCCTGTTGCTGAAATTCTGGTGCTGTGGGGGTTAACTGCTTCAGGTATCCAGGCTCAGATGCTCTAAAGATGGTCCGACAGGAACATGCCTTCCTCAATGGAAGAAAAGGTGGGGGAGTGTCCCCCTCAAATTATCTTTATTGGAGTGGAGACCAGAGACCTACAGTTGTTAATCCCCACAGTGCCAGATGTTCAGCTGCAGGTAAAGGACAGGGCAACCTGAAGATTTCTAGAGAATCCAGTAGTCTGCAAATCATCAGATATACTTATGGGGCTGTAAAACCTAAACATATTTTACCTTAATGCATTCCTTGCATTAAGGTAAAAATATTTAGGTTAAACCATCACCCCCTCACTCCCCCTTATATTTAGTCCTCACTCGATCCACTGCTGTGCCTATCTGCAGTGGCTCTCTCAACTTCTTCCCCACTCTCAAAAGGGTTTTTCGGAGAACAGAGTGAGTCATTGGTTCCCGCTGCTGTCAATCAAATCTTGTAACTAGGGAGCAGGTTCGAGCCTCTCTCTCTCTGTGTCAATGGATACAGGCAGCGTGGCTCAGGATTGAGTATACAAGTTTGCCACCACTGGAAGCGGCTTCCCATAGTGGCACACAAAGAAAAGGAGGAGACAGGAGCCCCAGCGAGGCACCCAAGAGGAGGAGGTTCAGGACCGCTCTGTGCAGTTCCATTGCACATAGCAGGTAAGTATAAACCTCTGTTAGTTAAAAATAAATAAATAAAACTTAATCATTTTAACTACAAGCAAGTATTGTAGCTAAAGCTGGAAAGAAAGGCTTTTTTTTTTTTTCAACTAATCGTCAGCTTGAAGTGGATATATTCAGCTACCACCCACACAATCATCAATTCACTAAACATACATCAGAAATCAAAATACAATGCTATCAAAAAATGTATTTTTTCTTAAATTTAGTAATAGTGTTTCTGAACTATAATGATGAAATTTATGCATGCATTGTAGCTATTAACATTGGTGGGCAATTGAAGGCTATAAAAACAACAAATTAAAGGGAAGAAAAATAAATTAGCTGGATGGTATCCAAAGAAAAATTATGACAAGGTTAGATAAAGATAAAAGGCTTTAATGCAACATAGAATGTTTCCCCATGCCTAGCCACAAGTTACATTTTAAAGAAAAGGGAAGGATTTGTTTCTTCACAATTTTTAAAGAAGACAGTGTTGCAAGAAAGCATTTTCCTTTTTATTGTTCTTCTTGCTATGACAATATTTCCTACAGCTGTTACATATTTGGAAAGACACTTATCATAAAAATGGGTTCATAAGGACATCTTAAATCATCTTTATTTTTTTTTTTAATATAAATTTAGAAACCCACAATGGCAACTCATATATTTCTCTAATGACCAATGCAATTTAAAAGACAAAAAAAAAACAAAAACTTTGAAAACATTAAACAAAACAGTCATCAATATGCGAGTGTTCTCTAGAATGACATGACCCAGCCATAGGAGAGCTGCTAATGTACACAATGATGACCCTCCAAAGTTCAAAGCTAACAATGATGTCAACATAAAAAGAACACAATCTCTCCCTATGGCTGACAATCAGGCTCACATGAATGTGCTTTTTCTTTATGAGTCAGTCTGTTAAGGAGGCAGAATTCCTTTAGATTGTAAGCTCCATGAGCAGGGCCTTCCTTCTGTACGAAATATATTGTAATTGTACTGTCTCCCGTTACATTGTAAAGCGCTGCGCAAACTGTTGGCGTTATATAAATCCTGTATAATAATAATAATAATTCCTCGCTCCAGACAGTATAAGGAGTGTATGTTTGAATTTGGGTAAAGGAAACACCTTTGCACTCCTTTTAGAGATCTCTAAATTTGAGCAGTGTACAAGGCACTATACACATTAGCCAAACGAATATTTGTAAAAGCAGGCCATGTTAAATACAGGGATTTTTTTCAGCTGGAACAGATTTCTATCACCTCCAGCAGTGACCCTGTGTGCACTGCTATTTACTGTCACTTGTAGACACAGAAGCCAAATTTCTTTGTCACAAGTTATGGCGCACCTTTCCCAGAAGCTTCCGAAAAAACCTCCCTGCCCTGCACTCAGGGTGTGGACAAAGGAGGAACAACTGTCAGAATGCAGGGTGTTTATGGCCGGCAGGGAGTAGGCATCCCATGCTGAGACACAGACTCCCGCCTCGATGCTGATGCCCCCCTCTGAATAATAATCGCTGCTGCTGTTGGTGAATGGGGGAGATGCAGAGCTGCAAATGAGTGTGGACTCCGTGCACTGTGTGGGAAAATAAGACAGGTCAGGCGCCGAGAAGTGCTTTTTCCAGAGGTAAACAGATGAGGACAGTGGTTGGACAGTAATGAACTCCTGAACCCTGCACCCTCAGCATAATACACTCCTGAACTCTGCATTTTGGGCATAATGTACTCCTGAACCCTGCATTCTGTGTGTAGCATAATGCCTGAACCTTGCATTCTGTGTACGAACCTATTCCCCCCAAAAAATAAGCACTGGTTAATTATACACCAGGTTGCTCAAACTATAGAACCAAGTTGTAGAGTTGGTTCATTCCAGCCTGTACAACCACCCGCTACTGCTATAACTCCATCAATGGCAAGAATCAGATTGCATTCAGCAGAGTAAATATGATCCATCGATAAAGTAACTCACCTTGTCCAGATCATACAGGACTCCCTGTATAAAACAAGAAAAAAAAAAAAAGATTAATAATTATTTGGGGGTCAGCGTAAAGACAATTATACCAGCATGTGGAAGGAATTTATTGTAGGCGGTAATCGTTTTATGCATTGTAATTGCAAGAAATGTGGAGCAGCTATTGTATTTTATATTCAAACATCCCCACACTGCGAGGTCTACTCCCATTAACACCAGGAAGTGCTCAGATTTTGGCAACTTACCAGCCTTGAATTTCTTCTCATGTCTTTGAGCTGGGCAGTCAACTTGTCTAGTTCAGTTTGATGAACTTCCAGGTACTCGCTACCAAGAGAAATTAAACACCAAATAGGAGTGAAGGTGAGAACAAAGAATCTAAAACAAATAACTTATTAGAACCTATTAATGGAGTCCCAATTTTGAGCCAATTAACAGCAACACGAGCCTTTCTTCCCCTGCTGAGTATTATATTCTCTAATTAAATCATCATCTATTTTACTGGCAGCCATATAAAAGACATTCATGAATCTCAGTAATACAAAAATAGTATGGTTTACCATTAGGACCCTATACAGTAATTTATTACCTGATATACATGGGCCAGAAGACCATTCCAGGCATCACTTGTGATAATTTAGTGTAAAGTAAATGAGAATGCAGCAAGTACTTTGCCAACAGTTGGATGGCTTCCAGCAAGTGGAAATATCTTTCAACTAGTTGGGTTGATTTAATGACATTTAAGACACTCGTAAAGTCATCTCTAATTTTTTGTCAGATCTAATGAGATATCTGGCCTTCTGCAGCCAGTCTACCAAAGTCAAAGGTTTGCTTGATTTAGAGCATCAACAAGTAAATCTCACCTTTACTTCACTTATAATGGTCATTTGAATTATTCTGCTCAAAACTATGCACAAACTCTGGGATGGGACTGCAGCTGGGGTGTCAAAACTTGGCATCTCCAGATTATAGATTTAAATCTAATTTTCAGCTTTTTTTGGAAACTACATTTTTGGGGTCTGGAGGCCTGTACAGCTACTTGCACCCCCATCCTCTATAAAGTCTTATTACCTGTGTTTTGATCCCAAGCTATGTAATCTACCATTTATAGTCTGTACCCAGTCCGTTATGGTTATAATTCACTTGTAACTTTACTTACTCAAGGCCATTTTTTAAGGCTCCATATATTTCTTCTACTCTCTCGGGTTGTGGTTCTTTAGAACTACTGCCATTTTTATGGCCCATGTTGTGCATTTTCTTTTGTTTTGCTTGAGGTTTTTTGGGGGCTGAAGAGTTTCCAAGAAAAGAGTTGCACCTATATAAATAAAATAAATAAACCAGTTTAACATTTTAGAAGATTAAACACTCATCTCCTTTTCTACCAAACAGAACAGATATTGAATTTTTACGGATCATTACCAATAAACAGCAAAAATCCCACACTAAAACAACCAATGAGCTTAAAGGGCCTTCCATTAGAAGAAACAAATATTAGTAGTTTAAAGTGGAACTTTACTCATAACTTGACAAAAGTTAATGTTCATTAGCAAGGAACAACATACATTCTACATTAATTATGCTACCACAATTTGTGTGTGCTGTAAATTGCTTTCAGCAGTGCACCTGCTTCTTCCTGCTGGAGGCTGCCATTTTGCTGAAGCCCAGAGCCCTGAGCAGCATTAAATCTTTAGGCTGTCAGCAGATCGGACTCTACAAATTCTGGCACAGTGCCTATAAATAGAGAGCAACTGAGCATGTGCACTGCAGGGTGAGAAAGTGTATTACTAGATCTTAAACAGTATAGGCACTTAATGTTTTACACAGTTATACCTGCAAAAGAGGCCAGCCTGAAGTGATCTAGGAGGACTTAATTTTCTGACTAAAGTGCCACTCTAACCAGTTTTGGACTTTAGACGTAGCACACAAGCCCTGAAAATTGTTAATCAAAATTCTTTGGGCACGTAGTATGACCTGCTTCTCCTCCACCAAAGCTCTGTCAGTTTACACAGCTAATTTTTACAGTAGATGTGGCCACTCACAGAACAATGTTTGAAATGTCAATATGGATTTCAGTACAGAAATGTTATTCTTGCTACATTGCAATTACTCTGGCTCATTCATAGTAGATCACTGGGCAACTTTTGATCTGCATCTAATGTCAGTTAAAGTGATAATTATTTAAAAAAAAAAAAAATTTGTAAGTTTACAAAACATGTTATGCTTATCTGCTTTGTGCAATGGTTTTACACAGAACAGTCTGGATCCTCTTCTCTGGTCCCTCATTGCTGTTCCTGGCTCCTCACCTCTGCTGAGTGCCCTGATAGTAAGCTGCTTGCAATGGGAGCAATCATGCACGTCTGTTTCCAGGCAGCGCTCTGTGTGTCCACTGACACACAGAACGTGGCTAAGTCCTCACTGGCTGTGAATGACAGCAGCAGCCAATGGCTCCCGCTGCTGTGTGTAAACCTATGAGGGCAGAAAGAGCATGAAGAAAGCACTGCACAGCACTGTATCAAGATCCAGCTCAGGAAAGCAACCTTGAATGTTAAATAAATTAAACCTCCTAGCTTTACAGCCACCCTAAAGCAACCTTGAATGTTAAAGAAAGTAAATGGTTTCGATTTAGCCCCTTATTTATCAGGGTGGATAAAAATCGGTAAATTTGATAAAAATCAAAGCAATTTACAAATAAATAAATACATTTTAATAAAATGTTTTTGGAGCAAAAATCTAAAAGATAATGTATCTTAAAAAGAAAACTAATAATTTAGTTTATTCAGCATGAAAAGCTTAGTTATGTAGCATGAGGCTGTATATTCTGCAATATGTACATTTTTGGTAAACTCATTCAATTAATCCAAGCTCAAGCAGAGATAACATACACTGCGTTGATGCATTCACACAATTTCACAGTAACAATGAGAAAAAACATGAAATAAAATAATTTGAGTAGTTCTCCAACTATGTGTGATTAACCTACTAACCTAAAATAGGTTCCGATATCGCTGTTTTACTAACCTGACAGCTTATTATTCTAAAGGAAACCTTTACTTGATTTGCAAATATTAAAGATTCTAACTACCAGCAAGAATGAGTCGGATTCCTTACATTTAAAGAGCACCTGTCATTTTAGATCCATCATGGCAGCGCCTGTTAGCTGTTGTCCACTCACCTGCTGCCACCAAGTCTCTCACCTTGTTGTGTCACTGCCACATCACCAGCCATCCCATTAAAGTGAATGGGACGGTCAGTGAGTCAACAGCGGGTCAGAGGAGGAGCCTCTGCAGGACAGAGATGACAGTTGCTCTTTGAAAATGATGATTTAAATCAAGCCTTTTCACTAGTGATTTAAATCATTATTTAAATCAAATCCACGAGAACAGATCAGCTTCTGTGCTTTGTGTGGTCCTGGCTCTGAATATCCATGACTGCAATGGTTAACAGCTTCGGGTCCTCAGGAAGAATAGCAGTGGAGAGGGTTTTGATGGGCACAAGCCCCGGCCTCCTCCTTTTACGAAAGCGCTTTCATGGATTACACTGACTATAGAACATGATCTGTGAATGGGAGAGAGTCTGATAAGTCACAGGATTCTCTTCCATTCACAAATCATGTTACAAGCAGCATAATAAATGGAAAAAAAAAAAAAAATTCCCATCTTGCCATCTATCCTGCTGTTCTGCCTGAAGACCAGATGCAGTTAACCACTACAGTGGCAAAGGTTCAGAGACAGGAAGAAAACCGGCATCCCTACAGTGAAGATTTCTCCAGGATCCAGCTGTCTGCACATCGTGGGACATACTTCATTACAATAAAGTGATACGTCTAAAACTGTAGGGAACTCTTTAGCTTGAACTAAGTGTTATCACAAAATCAACTGACATGTAAAGGTTCCTCTGATCTACAAAGTGTATAGTGAGCAAGAGCTGAAATGGTAAATGACTTTCCAGCTAGGTTCACACTCACGCGGTGTGGTACATCGCATGTGATTCGCATAGGAACCGCACTGCATTCCTGTGCAAAGCACATGCGAATTGTGCGCGGCTTGAGCCATACATTATGTATGGCTCAAATCGCACCGCATCAAAAAGCAGGGTCCGTACTAGAATTGGATCACATGGGTATTCACACCTATGCGATCCGATTCTGCTCATCGCACCGCGTTTTGTGGGCAAATTTCGGGTGATGTTAACTTAACATACACACCCACAGCGGTTTGCATGAACGGGGTGAGACTGATGCTGTATTCGCACAGAAAAAATTGAATTCCGGACCGGATCAGTGTAAACCCAGACTAAATGATGTTAAATAAGAAAACTGCATACAGTAAGTCTAGGGGAACAAGAAAGGCACTTATCAGAGATTTCTATTGTATGCTGTATGTCCTATGAATAGAGTTGGGATTAAAATACAATATAAAAATATGTGAGAGAAAGCATGTGGAAATGTGAAAGTCAAAAAAAAATTGACATAAAAAAAAAGGGAAATTATAGGGTATTTTCAGTAAAAACTTTGAACTATTTACGTTAAAGTTATTCTTGCGCAACTTTTACATTTTAAGAAGCGACTTTTTTTTTGGTGTTTTATTGTAGTAGGTAATCTACAAATCTCTACATTTTAATAAGCCTGCCTAACAGCTGTTGAGATAAGATATCAACCACACAGGGAGTGTATAGGTTTCAATGCCTCAGTTGACTCAGACTTTAATTGAGAGAATCAACATTAAGCCTGGGTTCACACTTGAGCGGGTCTGTAGATGTAGATTTCCTGTGCAAATCATATGCGATTTGTGTGTGGTGCAATCGGAACCATACATTATGTATGGCTCAAATCGCACCTGCACCAAAAAGGTGAAGGACCCTTTTTTGGGTCTGCACTAGAATAAGATCGTATGGGTATTCACACCCATGCGATCCGATTCTGCACATCACACCTCATTTTGCAGACTGATTTTGGGGTGTTAACTTAATACACCCCCGCATTGGTTCGCATGAACGGGGTAGGATTCTGATGCGGTACAGAATTCACACTGAAAACGCTGCGAATTCCGCACCACATCAGTGTGAACCAGGGCTAAGCAGGTTTACTGTATATCACTGCAAAACAGGAAGCAACACCTGCATATGCCATGCGCAAAAGATGGTTGCCCTTATGTACATAAAGAATTACAAGTTACACATTATGATAAAGTGATTTATAGTAATTTGATGTCTTTTTACAGTGGAATCTAAAAAAATAATAGAAAGTACTATATTCCTTTAAGGAAAACACTGCAATATTAAATCAAAATATGTGCTTACTGAAAATACACCTTACCTCCTATTTAAAAGATCCTTACACTGTGCCCAGTATTATAAAATATAATATTGCTGTATCTTTTAGGGGGCTTTTTAAATATGTTTCTGTGACTCAGCTATCACAAATAATCCTATATTTTACTTAATATTCCACTACATCCTGTTCCTCTCTGACTCCTGGGGATCGGTTCAAGCGGCGTTCATCCTCATCTAAACTTTGCACTGATATCTGCAGATCATTTTGTTTTTCTCAAGGGCACTTCATCTGCAGAGGACCGTCCCATGATCAATGGTGGACATATCTGACAGATCTTCGAATGGTTTGGACTCAGGGGTGTCAAACTGGCGGCCCTCCAGCTGTTGCCAAAACTACAAGTCCCATCATGCCTCTGCCTTTCGGAGTCATGCTTGTAACTGTCAATCTTGGGCAGCACAGTGGCTAAATGGTTAGCACGTCCGCCTGGCAGTACTAGGGTCGTTGGTTCGAATTCCAGCCACGGCACCACCTGCCTGGAGTTTACATGTTCTCCCTGTACCTGCGTGGGTTTCCTCTGGGTACTCCGGTTTCCTCCCACACTCCAAAGACATGCTGGTAGGTTAATTGGATCCGGTCTAAATTGGCCCTAGTATGTGTGTGTATGTATGAATGCAAGTTAGGGACCTTAGATTGTACGCCCCTTGAGGGTTGTACAGCGTAAAAGCGCTGTGTAAATTGACGACGCTATATAAGTAACTGAAATAAATAAATAAATAAATGTTTATTTGCCACAATCATCTGCTCCATCTAGTAGCTGTTATGTGACATTTTCCTGAAATGCCTCAATCAGCAAAATACTGCATTATGGCCAATAAATGGAGCCGACAACCATAGGTTCTGATTGATAATACGTGTCTATAATTAACAGTCAGTCATTCTGTGTTGTCATTTTCAGCTATTAGCTATAGGCTACCTACACTTATGGGTCTGGTTTTTTTTTTTTTTTTGTTTTTTTACTAAAAATTGACAAAAAGTGTCTCAAGCCTAATACAGTGTTTTCCTGATTGAGGATTTTTGTGAAAATACTAAATTATGGCTGCTTATGATCATAAGAAATAAAGATATTAGGAGAAATACGGGATTATTTGTGACATGCTTGAGACATTTGCACATCTTTTTCCTGTATGAACAGACCACGAAGTGTAAGTACGTTACGATATTAAGGTTAGGACATGAAGATAAAGAATACAGCCTCAGCCTGTGATTGGACAATGAAGACAGCACCATATACAGTGGATATTGTTATTGTTGTACTCTACTGTAATCACATGCACCGTTCAAAGCAACTGGCGTGGAGTACTGTCCATTCCTCTCCCAGTCAGCTCTGCAGAGGATTATAGATGGTATATATAAAAGGAAAATTCGAGTACTTCTAGTAGGTCTATGAAAATTATGTTTAATGATTTTTATTAAACACAAAAGGTTAGGTTGTTTTTATCTAAGTGTTTTTTTTGTTTTTTTTAAGCTGAACACCAAACAAAAAAAGCAATAAAATAGGACTACTAAATAAGGCAGCTATCTTGGCACACAATATCAGCAGGGTATGGTAGGTAACCTTCATAGAACACTAATCCAAAGAAATCTCTAATACTAGGCTACAAAAAAAAAAAATCACCAATTGCCTTTCCTCAATCGCCTTGCTAGATAATAAAGTGTGATTATCTTTTTTTTTTTTATTGAATAAAATAGGAGGACGTAAGCCACATGCATCATGAGAGTGGATATTCTGCCTGGAGCGCAGGCACATTAGAATTACTTACCGAGATCTTCTTTCTGGGATGCCACTAAATCCAGCAAATGACTGACTTCTGAGAATCCCATTAGGTCCTCCTGGAGGAAATGTCTGAGAGCCCACAGACATGATATCCGGGCTTCTGAAAGATAACTCTGCAAGACAAACCAGAAGGGGGTTTTAGTGCAGGCCTTTGTGTAAAGAGAATACAATGAAATGCTTTCTGTGTTATCACAGTTGATAAGTGAAGCCTGAACAACACTGATTGGAAATGGCACTGATGGGCTTCTAGCTTGGGGAATAATTGTACCATAGAGATAACCTGTTTTGTGGTTTTCCTCAGTGTCAGTCATACTGCCAAGCAGTACAACTTTTCTATATACCTCATACCGCCGAATGCTCAAAATGCTCATTTTCATATGCATTATGGGCATTTCTAATGGTGTAACATGAAATAAAAAATACTAAAAACACACTAAAAACACACAACACTAAATGAACATGTAAATAAGCATTCATTTTAGTCAGTGGCAGAGAAGTCCCTTAAAAGAAGTAAAAACAAAATGAAAAAAAAAAAAAAAAAATACCCAACTGAGTGACATTTAATTTGCTAAAGCATAGTCTATCATGAATTGTCATTTTTTTTTTTTTATGAAATACTTGCAGTTTTCACGTTTCATTCTTTGTTTCTGCTGATCTCCTGCAGCCTAGGTGGAGGAGCAGAACTCAAGGTTTCAGTGAACTTTAGGCTCCATGCCAGGGGCGGACTGGCAACTCACACTCAGAGCACACCCAAAAAAGCCTAAAAAAAAAGAAAAAAAAAAAAAAAAAAAAAGTACCAGGGGCATTTCATGGGGCCCCCTACTGACCCTGGGCCCTCGGGTTGTGCCCGAGTGCTTGAATGGCCAGTCCACCCCTACTCCATGCACACTGGGCGTTATAACAACGTTGGTAGCGTTAGCTGTTTAAAGTCACGTTAAAAATGTGAGTTTTTCAGTGGTTTTTAGCATTTTTGCATTAGCAGTTAGCCACACTTGATAGTGTTTTGCCACATTTGCATTTTTTTTTTCCCCATTTTTTTTGCTCAGTTTTTTTAGCTGTAAAAATGCTCTACTAGAAACCCACTAGTTCTGGGTTTTTTCCCAGCCACAAAATGCTGATTACAGCCTATGTGTTCATAGACACATAGGATAACATGCTGAGGAGTTTACTGGCTGTAGAAAAAAAAAAAACTCCAAAAGCCAAAAATAGCAGTAGTAAAAAACGTCAGTAGTGTGCATGAGGACTTAAAAAGTTAATTTGGACCAAGTTGGTCTAAAAGAGTGATTTACTTTCCTAACAGATGCAGCAGCTGTGTGCACTGTATAAACTGTATATATCCTCCGCTACATACAATGCTGTGTTCGCTCCCAGAACAAAAACGGGCTGAGTGTGTTAGGTATTCTATGAATACAAAGCTTCCTCTGATTGGCTGAGGCAGGGAAGTTGGTGGATGACATCATGATCTCCACCTCAGCCAATCAGAGGAAGCTTTGTATTCACGCATAGAATACAAAGCTCCCTGTGAATGGCTGAGCAGCGTAGTATTTTTGTTCTGAGAGCGGGACATGAAGTTCCTGTCTCACTGCCAAGACACTGTAGACTGTATCCAGCTGAGGATACATAGAGTTTATACAGTGCACATAGCGGAGGCATCTATTAGTGAAGTAAATCGTTTGTTTGGACCACGAACTTCGTAGTTCTCAATGAACAACCACGGCACGGTGAGTGCTGGGGTAGTTCATTGGAGTCTTCCCGTCATAAGTATAGGCTTGCCCATAGGCTGATCACTCATGCAATGCTTTACAGGCTCCTACTATAAAAAATAATAAATGTGCAATGCAAAAAAAAAAACACAAAAAAACAAAAAGAAGAGTATTATTTTATGTAGAAAGGTGACTGTATCCTTTAATATTGGTACATCTGCACTTCTGGTTTTCTCTTCGTTTCATTGCAAAGTCCCACAAATACCTGCCAGAGAGGTCCATCTAATGCAGCTTGCTGAGATAGCGTGGCAATGATGCTGCATTGCTTCTGAACTCAGAGCAGAGTTGCCACTCCTATGTAGGCTGTATCTGATTTCAATATAGTTTGATGAGATGTAGTTGCAGGTGACATGGCTATTACTATTATATCACTACTGATTCACAAGCCTGTAGCTTGTCAATCAGTGCCTTGCCATGCTTGCTCCTGTCCACTGCTTTCTAGATTGACAACCTCTGTGGCTGAAGCCCTCCCACTGTGAGCTGCAGTGTCTGGGAGGGAGAACATGTGAGATAAATGAAGGAAAGGTTTGTTTTTGTCCAGCAAGGTAAAGGAAGTTTTTATTTTAGTGATTAGGATTGTGCATACTCTAAGGTCTACCTTGTGCACCAGCTAGTGAACATTATTTGATGGATCAACGAATTCTAGGAACAATTTGAAATGCTATATAAACATAATGATAATCATGCAAGAAAACACACAAGCTTTTATAGAGGCAATAAAAATAAACATGAGGTTTGAAGTCAGCAGGCTGGAGAGCAGGCACGTAAAACATGTGCTATTTGTGGAAATCAGCGGGATTCTTGTATATACAGCTCACTTCCCACCCTCCTCTCTCAATCATTCTCACATCTCTTTTTATTCCTTGATCAGATCATTACTCATTTATATGATACAAAAGAAAGTCTCACAAGGGCAATCTTGGCTTCACCCATTCTTCTTTATTTAGTCCAAAGTATACAGTGGATATAAAAAGTCTACACACACCCCTGTTAAAATGTCAGGTTTCTGTGATGTAAAAAAATGAGACAAAAATAAATCATTTCAGAACTTTTTCCACCTTTAATGTGTACAACTCAATTGAAAAAAAACAAACTGAAATCTTTTTTTTTTTTTTTGGGGGGGGGGGGGGGGGGGGGAGTAAACATAAAAAACTAAAAATAATGTGGTTGCATAAGTGTGCACACCCTCTTATAACTGGGAATGTAGCTGTGCTCAAAATTAAGCAATCACATTAAAAATCATGTTAAATAGGAGTCCGTACACACCTGCATGTAAAGTGCCTCTGATTAACCCCAAATAAAGTTCAGATGTTTTAGTAGGTCTTTCCTGACATATTCGTTGCATACTATAGTAAAAGCCATGGTCTGCAGAGAGCTGCCAAAGCATCAGAGGGATTCCATTGTTAAAAGGTATCGGTCAGGAGAAGGGTACAAAAGAATTTCCAAGGCATTAGATATACCATGGAACAAAGTGAAGACAGTCATCAAGTGGAGAAAATATGGTGAAACAGTGACATTACCAAGAACTGGACGTGTCTCCAAAACTGATGAAAAGACGAAAAGAAAACTGATCTGGGAGTCTGCCAAGAGGCCTACAGCAACATTAAAGGAGCTGCAGGAATATCTGGCAAATACTGGCTGTGTGGTACATGTGACAACAATCTCCTGTATTCTTCATATATCTTGGCTACAGAGTACAGTGGCAAGACAGAAGCCTATTCTTACAAAGAAACATCCAAGCCCGGCTAAATTTTGCAAAAAACACATCTGAAGTCTCCCAAAAGCATGTGAAAAAATGTGTTATGGTCTGATGAAACCAAAGTTGAACTTTTTGGCCATAATTCCAAAAGATATGTTTGGCAAAAAAACAACACTGCACATCACCAAAAAAACACCATACCAACATTGAAGTATGGTGGTGGCAGCATAATGCGTTGGGGCTGTTTTTCTTCAGCTGGAATTGAGGCCTTAGTCAAGGTAAAACAGTTCCAAATACCAGTTAATATTAGCACAAAATCTTTCAACATGACAACGACCCAAAGCATACATCCAAATCAAAGGCATGGCTTCATCAGAAGATAAAAAAGTTTTGGAATGGCCCAGCCCAGAGCCCAGACCTGAATCTGAACTAAAATCTGTGGGGTGATCTGAAGAGGGCTGTGCACAGGAAATGCCCTCGCAATCTGACAGATTTGGAGTGTTTTTGTAAGGAAGAGTGAGCAAATATTGCCAAGTCAAGATGTGCCATGCGGATAGATTCATACCCAAAAAGACTAAAAAGAGTGCCATTATAAAATCAAAAGGCGCTTCAACAAAATATTAGTTTAAGGGTGTGCACACTTATTCAACCATATTATTTTATTTTTTATTTTTACTCTTCTCTCAACCTAAAAGATTTCAGTTTGTTGCTCAACGGAGTTGTACAGTTTATAGGTTACATTAAAAAAGGTGAAAAAAGTTCTGAAATTATTTCTCTGTCTCATTTTTTTACATCTCAGAAACCTGAGATTTTAACAGGGGTGTGTAGACTTTTGGTATCCATGGTATGTTAAAAAACAGCTAAAGACTAGTTGAAAAGGGAAACTATCATTGCTATCTTCATTGTCCTTTACTTGGACTACCAAACTCCCCTATCTGGGGGTTCGCCTGATGCCTTTTTACAATACACTATACCAGGCAAAGTATCCCCCCCCTTTTTAGATCCCTGGCCCCGCCCTTCTCTGCTCTTGGTCTCAATTTCCTATTTTTTGGATAGGCCATTTAAATGCAGTCAAAACGTCCTTCCTACCTAAGCTCCTTTACCACTTTCAGGTTTTACCTGTCCATGTCCCACCAGTAATGATACAGGCCCTACAAGACAGTTCTCTCATTCATCTGGCATACCACAAGGCCCCGTATTAACAGGTCCACACTATACAGACACAAGTATGAGGGGGGATTAGGAACCCTGCGTCTTCTTCACTATTACAAGGCGGCTCAACTGGCCCCACTCACTAGACTCCATTCTACTACTGAAACCCCCATATTGGCACGGTTGGACAAAATTGGCTGTGGTAATATGGCTTCTAAAACTCTGCTCTGGCTACCACCTCCCCAACACCCACCTTCTCTAACTCCTCCTTTAACCCACTTCCTTAACGTTTGGGACTCTGTAATATACTCCAGTGGCCTTATATCTCCATATCTTCCGCTGAGCCTGACAAACTGTCCTCTGTTCCTTCCTGGCTTTAAAGCCCCCCCCCCCCCCTCGCAGCTTTCAATTGTTGGACCCAAAAAGGATTTACCAACGTTTACTTGCTAGATTCTAAAGGTGTCAATACTTTTCACTATTTTCACAATACGCATGGGGAGCAGTCAGGGGAATG